TTTCTTTTCCCCCTGCTCTCTCTCGGCTGTGGAGCCATCTCTGCCCCCGTCATTGTCAGTTTTGGTGAAGCAAACAATTACAAATTTGGGGGTCACTCTGGACGCTTTTTTAAAAAATGGATGCACAGATAAATCAGGTGGTCAGGTCGTGTTTCTTTCATCTTCGCCGCCTGGCCAAACTAAAATCTGTCCTGAACCAAAAAGATCTTCAGTCAGTTGTTCATGCTTTTGTGACGTCACGTCTGGACTATGCCAACTCTCCCTCCTCTTCAGTGGCACGCCTCCAATTGGCACAGAATGCTGCCGCAAGGTTTCTTACGGGCATAGACCGACGGCAGCACCGATGGCTTCCAGTTCGGTTTCGTATTAAGTTCAAAATTCTGTTGGTTTACAAATCTATCCATGAAATGGCCCAAACGCAAACGCTGAGGTCCTCTGACCAGCACCTTCTGCTTGTCCCTCCGGCCCGCTATATGGCCCGTGGCGAACGGGCTTTTTCAGTTTGTGCGCCTAAACTTTGGAACCAACTCCCCGACAGTCCGACTTGCCCCCTCCCTTCCCACTTTTAAGGTACGTTTGAAGACATTTTTCTATTCCCTGGCCTTCCCGGCTGAGACTTTTTAACCCTTGTGCTGGCGATGTATTGTCGTGTACGGCACTTTGGTTGGCGTTGTCACCATTTAAATGTGCTTCATCAATAAAGGTTGATGATGACATGCTAATCAGATGCCAATGTCGCCTCAGCTGGCTCCTCTCGATGTGGAGGAGCAGCGGGTCTACTCTGAGCCCCTCCCGGATGACCGAGCTTCTCACCCTATCTCTAAGGGAGAGCCCAGCCACCCTGTGGGGAAAACTCATTTTGGCCGCTTGTATCCGTGATCTCGTTCTTTCGGTCACTACCCAAAGCTCGTGACCGTAGGTGAGGGTAGGAACGTAGATCCACCGGTAAATCGGGAGCTTCTCTTTCCGACTCGGCTCTCTCTTCACCACGTCAGACCGGTACAACGCCCGCATCACGGCAGACGCAGCACCAATCTGCCTGTCGATCTCACGCTCCAGCTTTCCCTCACCCATGAACTAGATACTTAAAGTCCCCCACTTGGGGCACGACCTCATCCCTGACCCGGACTCAAGACCACGGTCTCGGATTTAGAGGAGCTGATTCTCATCCCAGCTGCTTCACACTCGGCTGCGAGTTGCTTAAAGCAGCACAGACTCAGTAAATATTCTATTTCCTGTTGTAAATGTTGGACTCAACCAACATGTTACAGGTTTCAAAAAGCTGCAGGACATATTAAAAAAGGGATTTCTCCACCCCTAAAACCCTCAATGCAACTGAAATCCTTTTTTAACCGCCGCACATCCAGCCTCCAGCATTCCAGCCACACTCCTGGTTTTAGTGAATGAATGGTGCTTTTGCAGGACCTCCGGCAGCGTCCGCTGTTAATGAGAGATAATGGCGTTTCGTCATACAAGCAGCAGGTTGGAGCAGCTCAGCGAGACCAAACGTCAAATTACAGTTTAGGGGAGCGACTAGTCTGGTCGTGCCTTAGCCTGTGGCTTTTTATGATCACACAAATCTGTGAGTGGAATCGTGTCCGCGCACGAAAAGCTCTGTTTTTCCTCAAGTCAGCCGTTCCTCTAATTCCCGGTGCTCTTTGGTTTGTGGGACGTTTTTCCTCTCAGCATGGTGATTGGTGCACAAGTTCAAGATGGCGCATTGGCTCAGGAAGAGGCAAGATTTATTTAAAATTAAAAAGCAAACTTTCAATTGGAAAAACAAATCAAATGTCCTAAGATTTTAAAATTCACATGGATACCCCCCCCCCCCACACACACACACACACACACACACGCACACACACACCCCACCCCCATTCAGAAGATGTTTTCTGCAATAAAGTTCAGGTAAAACTTCATTTTTTCCTCCTGGACTGTTGAATGTATAATTTATATATCACTACATGCATCGTAAAAACATCTTTTTTCTTTTAAAAGCTCGTTTTCTCCCTTCTCAGTGATTATTAATGATCCTCTAATCCTATAGAAGATTATTAATGATCCTCTAATCCTATAGAAGATTATTAACGATCCTCTAATCCTATAGAAGATTATTAACGATCCTCTAATCCTATAGAAGATTATTAACGATCCTCTAATCCTATAGAAGATTATTAACGATCCTCTAATCCTATAGAAGATTATTAACGATCCTCTAATCCTATAGAAGATTATTAACGATCCTCTAATCCTATAGAAGATTATTAACGATCCTCTAATCCTATAGAAGATTATTAACGATCCTCTAATCCTATAGAAGATTATTAACGATCCTCTAATCCTATAGAAGATTATTAACGATCCTCTAATCCTATAGAAGATTATTAACGATCCTCTAATCCTATAGAAGATTATTAACGATCCTCTAATCCTATAGAAGATTATTAACGATCCTCTAATCCTATAGAAGATTATTAACGATCCTCTAATCCTATAGAAGATTATTAACGATCCTCTAATCCTATAGAAGATTATTAACGATCCTCTAATCCTATAGAAGATTATTAACGATCCTCTAATCCTATAGAAGATTATTAACGATCCTCTAATCCTATAGAAGATTATTAACGATCCTCTAATCCTATAGAAGATTATTAACGATCCTCTAATCCTATAGAAGATTATTAACGATCCTCTAATCCTATAGAAGATTATTAACGATCCTCTAATCCTATAGAAGATTATTAACGATCCTCTAATCCTATAGAAGATTATTAACGATCCTCTAATCCTATAGAAGATTATTAACGATCCTCTAATCCTATAGAAGATTATTAACGATCCTCTAATCCTATAGAAGATTATTAACGATCCTCTAATCCTATAGAAGATTATTAACGATCCTCTAATCCTATAGAAGATTATTAACGATCCTCTAATCCTATAGAAGATTATTAACGATCCTCTAATCCTATAGAAGATTATTAACGATCCTCTAATCCTATAGAAGATTATTAACGATCCTCTAATCCTATAGAAGATTATTAACGATCCTCTAATCCTATAGAAGATTATTAACGATCCTCTAATCCTATAGAAGATTATTAACGATCCTCTAATCCTATAGAAGATTATTAACGATCCTCTAATCCTATAGAAGATTATTAACGATCCTCTAATCCTATAGAAGATTATTAACGATCCTCTAATCCTATAGAAGATTATTAACGATCCTCTAATCCTATAGAAGATTATTAACGATCCTCTAATCCTATAGAAGATTATTAACGATCCTCTAATCCTATAGAAGATTATTAACGATCCTCTAATCCTATAGAAGATTATTAACGATCCTCTAATCCTATAGAAGATTATTAACGATCCTCTAATCCTATAGAAGATTATTAACGATCCTCTAATCCTATAGAAGATTATTAACGATCCTCTAATCCTATAGAAGATTATTAACGATCCTCTAATCCTATAGAAGATTATTAACGATCCTCTAATCCTATAGAAGATTATTAACGATCCTCTAATCCTATAGAAGATTATTAACGATCCTCTAATCCTATAGAAGATTATTAACGATCCTCTAATCCTATAGAAGATTATTAACGATCCTCTAATCCTATAGAAGATTATTAACGATCCTCTAATCCTATAGAAGATTATTAACGATCCTCTAATCCTATAGAAGATTATTAACGATCCTCTAATCCTATAGAAGATTATTAACGATCCTCTAATCCTATAGAAGATTATTAACGATCCTCTAATCCTATAGAAGATTATTAACGATCCTCTAATCCTATAGAAGATTATTAACGATCCTCTAATCCTATAGAAGATTATTAACGATCCTCTAATCCTATAGAAGATTATTAACGATCCTCTAATCCTATAGAAGATTATTAACGATCCTCTAATCCTATAGAAGATTATTAACGATCCTCTAATCCTATAGAAGATTATTAACGATCCTCTAATCCTATAGAAGATTATTAACGATCCTCTAATCCTATAGAAGATTATTAACGATCCTCTAATCCTATAGAAGATTATTAACGATCCTCTAATCCTATAGAAGATTATTAACGATCCTCTAATCCTATAGAAGATTATTAACGATCCTCTAATCCTATAGAAGATTATTAACGATCCTCTAATCCTATAGAAGATTATTAACGATCCTCTAATCCTATAGAAGATTATTAACGATCCTCTAATCCTATAGAAGATTATTAACGATCCTCTAATCCTATAGAAGATTATTAACGATCCTCTAATCCTATAGAAGATTATTAACGATCCTCTAATCCTATAGAAGATTATTAACGATCCTCTAATCCTATAGAAGATTATTAACGATCCTCTAATCCTATAGAAGATTATTAACGATCCTCTAATCCTATAGAAGATTATTAACGATCCTCTAATCCTATAGAAGATTATTAACGATCCTCTAATCCTATAGAAGATTATTAACGATCCTCTAATCCTATAGAAGATTATTAACGATCCTCTAATCCTATAGAAGATTATTAACGATCCTCTAATCCTATAGAAGATTATTAACGATCCTCTAATCCTATAGAAGATTATTAACGATCCTCTAATCCTATAGAAGATTATTAACGATCCTCTAATCCTATAGAAGATTATTAACGATCCTCTAATCCTATAGAAGATTATTAACGATCCTCTAATCCTATAGAAGATTATTAACGATCCTCTAATCCTATAGAAGATTATTAACGATCCTCTAATCCTATAGAAGATTATTAACGATCCTCTAATCCTATAGAAGATTATTAACGATCCTCTAATCCTATAGAAGATTATTAACGATCCTCTAATCCTATAGAAGATTATTAACGATCCTCTAATCCTATAGAAGATTATTAACGATCCTCTAATCCTATAGAAGATTATTAACGATCCTCTAATCCTATAGAAGATTATTAACGATCCTCTAATCCTATAGAAGATTATTAACGATCCTCTAATCCTATAGAAGATTATTAACAATCCTCTAATCCTATAGAAGATTATTAACGATCCTCTAATCCTATAGAAGATTATTAACGATCCTCTAATCCTATAGAAGATTATTAACGATCCTCTAATCCTATAGAAGATTATTAACGATCCTCTAATCCTATAGAAGATTATTAACGATCCTCTAATCCTATATAAGATTATTAACGATCCTCTAATCCTATATAAGATTATTAACGATCCTCTAATCCTATATAGGAGTAAAAATGGGAAAACGCAGAAGTGAGTTTGTTAGCTCTGACCAGCTGAAAGCTTTGGCTGTTTTATTTCCCGTTGCCCGTCTGGTGGAGCAGCAGCACGACGGCCGCCACCTTTTATCATTTACTGCCTCTAAACTCTGACATCCTTATTTCTTTTCCTCATAACTGACACCTGCATTGTTACTGTAACCTGGGTGCGTGAATCTGTGCATCATGGTTTATTGCAATCGCTGCGTGGGCGCACGACTAAAAAAGAAATTCCCATTTTATCCTTTGTTATCGCCTCAGATGCCATCTGTGCGCAGAGAAAGACACTCCCAGTACTTTTCATATGAAAGGTTTCCTCCAGTGAAAGAGGAAGATCCGGACATCCCTCGTGACGTTGGCTCGGGTGCATAGCTGAGAAGCAAGTATTTACGCACGCGGCTCCCTGTGATTGGAATTGCTGACTTGGAGTGTGGGAATGCAGTGTTGACACACAACCCGGCGCTGATGTAAGATATTCACAGGGTGTTACAGCGTCATGTCTTATTTTTACGCAGGGCTGGAAGTCAGATTTTAGTCCAAGTGCCTTGACGGTACAACATATTTAAAAACAGACTTGTTTCTTCATGATTTGAGGAGTTGCACTCCCACCCGACTCCCACAGATTCACTAAAATGACCACAGAGAAAAGCACCAGCTGCATTGGATCGAGGTTTTGCCAAGGGAAAAAAAAAACCTGTAAAAATGTGCAACTGCACTGTGTGAGCGGAGCTGCTAAAGCTTGTAAAGATGTGTTTTTAAGTTTAAGAAGGTTTAAGAGACTGTGGAAGGTTAGATTAAAACAATTAGCATTTTTTTACTAAAATGCAAAATAAAAACACTGAGAAACCTGTCACGGTGTTTAATGATAATCTCTGATTCTAACGGTGTCACACCCTGTCCTGTCTTCTCTTAGGTTTTAGTCTGTGTCTCCGTTAATTGCTCCTACCTGCCTCTTGTTTCCCAATCACCATAGCTCCCGCTCCTCGTGTATTTAAACCCCTTCTGTTCAGTGTTCCAGCGTGTGTCTTAATAAACAGATGTCAAACGGACCTACCTGTTCGCCTTCTTCCTCCCCGCGATTGGATCCTACCTCCGCTCCACTCGCCAGGCACGCTCGTGACAAACGGGTCACCCTGAGTGTTTCATGCAGGCTGAACATGAAGATAGTCTCCTACACCTATCTCCTGCAGTAGCTTCTGATAGAAAACAGATGGTGAAACTCTAGGATTAGAAAATCCTGACAGATCTACGTCACCCTGTCACTAACATTCATGCACTCACCCATCTGGACTCACGGCGGGGAAGGCTGTTGTTGGTTTAGCGTCCAGGAAACTAGTAGAAGCTGGGGGAGTAGAGGGAGGTGGAGTGTACAGTCGGTAAAGACGGCTCTCCCTTGCCCTGCCTCCAACATGCCTCCATCTAAATAGGATAGATTATCCAGAGTTATCTCTGTAGTTATGCTGCTATAGGCTTAGACTGCTGGAGGACACACTGACCACTTTTCACACTCTACTGCTTTCTTCTACAATCTGCTCTTTAACTGTATTATTTCCTGCTATTTCAGCTGTTAACTTTATTTTCTCTCTAAGTGTTTTTCTCCCCAGAAGAAGCTACAACGATGTTCTGCTGAGCTGTGGTGGCCTCATGGAGGGGGCCATCGTCTAGCACACTGCTGCTAACCACTTAAACATTCTCTCTCTCCTGATAATAACTATTTGCTTTCCTTGACATTGAATGTGCTACTACTAGTTTACCCGTTTAATTATAGATCCACTAGGATAAATACAATAAAGTTTATCTCTCACCAAATAGAATATTTACTAAGACATCACAATATAACTGTAGACACATTACTTGTGTGTGTGTGTGCGTGTGTGTGTGCGTGTGCGTGTGCGTGTGCGTGTGTGTGTGTGTGTGTGTGTGTGTGTGTGTGTGTGTGTGTGTGTGTGTGTGTGTGTGTGTGTGTGTGCGTGCGTGTGTGTGTGTGTGTGTGCGTGTGTGTGTGTGTGTGCGTGTGTGTGTGCTGCTTTAAACCATCAATAACTTGTTTTAATCACACAGAAAATGGTGATAAATGCTTTATATGAACTAATTGTGTGAAATATTTTGACATTAGTGGAAGTAAAATGATTTTTTCTCAGGAGAACGTGCTCATGCTACCTACTTTGGACCTGACCACACTTTTACTCTGAACAACACCGTGATCTGTCATAAACCGAGCAGCTAAACCAGAGCTGGAACCTGCTCAGGGGCTCTTCTCTGCATCTAAACATGGAGCATTACTGGAAAGTTCGAGTGCAACAATTTCTTTTGTCTAATGTCAACAACTGCTTTTCACAATCATCCTTGGATGATCTTCTGAACATTCACTCAGTGTCTCTAAAGGTGTATTTCTTGGTTCTTTTTAAACACAGAAAAGAAGCTCTGATGATGGCTACAGGAAGCTGCTGAAACGTTAGCTTTCAAGGTGAAGGAAATTTTTCTTTTCTGTTTAAAAAGAACCAAGAAATACAAATCCTTAAGACGATTTTAAGAACAAAGGAGCATTTTACAACACGTATGAATAAAAACAATCAAATAATCCAGATGAAACGAGTTAGTTATTCCTGAGACCACCTGGTCGATTAACTGGACCTCATCTAAAACTATTATCAGACTAGATTATTTATCTACTCAGTCTCAAAAGGACATGATGTCTAGCAGCCGGTGAGGATTGCCGTGTTGGGTTGTGACCATGCCGATGCTCACATCTACAGCATTTATGTCGCATCCACACTGATGTTCTCCTCAGTCCTGTTGTTCATGCTTCTACCTAATAGGTGCAGATAATGTTCTTGATAATGTTCAAAAATGCTTTCACACACACACACACACACACACACACACACACACACGTACAGGAAAGCATGTCAAAGTCAGAATCTACGAGGTATGAAAGCAGGTCTGTGAAGAAGACACTGCACCAAATCCCTCTTGCTTAGAGCCATTTCAGCTACTTTATTCTTGACATTTTCAGTACCTTCCAGAATGAGTCGTTTTAGGGCTTTAAGAAAACAAGCTGGAGCTGGCCACGCTCACCCATTACCCGCTCAGGCTGCTATAAGCTGAGAAGCTCCAATATCTGGGAGGAGCTTCGAGAAGAGTGGCTGCTTCTCCAGCAGAGGAGAGATGAGGTTCTTTTCTAATTTCCCATTTGTGACATCACAAACAGGGACTTTTAGAAACGGCTTGTTTTAGTCACAGAACTTCTCATGTTAATGTTTGGGGTGTTTCTAGAGGCAGCAGAGACCAACATGGCAGCACAAAGGGCAAAATGTTGCAGGGGTCCTATGTGTTGTTTCAGCTCACTTAAACATCTGCCTGGATTATTATCACAGATGTCGTTACTTCTAAAATCATTTAAAACCCTTTGTATGAACAAGATAACACATTTGTGATCCAATACTTCATTTTACACAACATTTTACTCTGGGTCTGCATCCTTTTGCTCATGTTTCTCTCGTAGCACCTGAAAGAGTGACACTATCATCTCCAGCATCATCCACGGGTGCCGGCTGAAGCCGTGGACCACATCACACTGACCTGGGATCAGAAACACATGAGATACTTTACTAAAGTATCAAAAGAGTCAGCAGGGGGATTAGCCCTAACAAGGAAACTTTCCACCCCTGCCCACGAGTGTGACTCATGCAGAAATGCAACCACTTGTTTATCTCTGATGAGAGTGTGTGCACGCGCGCGTGTGTTTATGTGTGTGTGTGTTTGCCCTTGTACAAAACCATGTGGTCAGTGTGTGACCCAGATCGGCAGCAGCCTGGGCGATATGAGTACATGTTTTAAACCGTGTGCACCGAGAAGACAGCAACAAAATCAGAGTATAAACACTCTCACACACACACACACACACACACGTGCTGAACATTTGAAGGGCGACAAAGACACTGACTCAGCGGCCAAAATGTCATGAATCGTATTCAAAGTGCGGCTGGGCTACAAGTCGGGCTGTGGAGCCCGTACCTGAGCTGAAGGGGTGGTGAAGTTGACGGAGGCGTGGGAGAAGACATCCGCCAGATGAGACGAGGGTCCTGAGACAGCAAGACTCGATGCATGCGGCTAAAGGGCAACTGTTTCTCACACCAAACACACGTGTAAAGCCACAGCACCAGCTATGTTTTTATTATTTTATTATCTACACGCTGCAAGCGAATACGTTTCTGGCCCTGAATCACTCGTTTCTCTTCTCAGTGCTCCCTTTCAAGGGGACACCAACTGTACCTCAGACATGAAGGGAATTCTGCGTGAGTGCTTATCTGATCTTCTGATTTTCAGACTCTAAAGAGGGGGCAGAAACCACATCACACACAGTGACAGACACACACACATTTACATACCAATTTCTGTCTCTGTTTCTGTAGTTTCATTTTGTAGCTGCTCTTAAACAACTTTCTACACCAAAGTGACTCATACACCCACTGTTCACATATTTCCCGACGCTATCTTATGATTTACACCCACACGTCCTTAAATCACCGCTGATAGTTAAGTTTGAACGTTAATAACAGCAGCAATGCTTCGAGAAGACGACGGGACGGCAGCTGAGCTCTTGCTGGCAGGTATTCATCAACAGGATGTAGATTGTTCTTCTCTTTTCTGCTTCGCCCGGGCCCAGACTCCTAACCCCAATCAAAACGGAAAACTTGATGAATTTGGGGTAAAAAGACAAAACACCCGAGCGTCTGGCAATCCTGCTGAAAAATTATAACGAAACGGCCTAAAAACAACTAAGCTGTGGCTATAAAGTAGCTTACCATCATTAACGGTGTGTGAATGTGAGTGTGTGCCAACGTCTTTGAGTGTCCTAAACAAGCACTATATAAGTTCAATGATGATTATATATTATTATTATTATTATTATCATTATTATTATTATTATTATTATTATTATTATCATTATCGTTATCGTTGTCGTTGTTGTTGTTGTTATTATTATTATTATTATTATTATTACTATTATTATTATTATTATTATTATAGTTAAACCGACAGAAACAGGAGACGTGGTTTCGGAAGCTTATTTTTAAACATGGAGGGGGGATTTCTCAGAAAAAGTCAACCCGTTCAAAAGATTTTTATTTTTTATTAATAAATAAATAAAACAATAAATCCCAGCAGTCTGAGAGGTTCAAGCACCTGTTCAGATCTTTGAAGTCGTCTGTTTCAGAAAACCCTTTGAACAAACTCAACGTGGAGAGAAGGAATATTTTGGGTTTTTTTTATGTATATTTTGGTATATTTAAAGGTATATTTACAGGTTTAAATTTGTACAGGTGCTGGCCAGTAAATTAGAATATCATCAAAAGGTTGAAAATATTTCAGTAATTCCATTCAAAACGTGAAACTTGTACATTATATTCATGCAATGCACACAGACCAATGTATTTCCGATGTTTATTACGTTTAATTTCGATATTTATAGGTGACAACCAATGAAAACATCAAATCTGGTATCTCAGAAAATTAGACTATTCTAAAGGCCAATGAAAAAATGTTTGTTTCTCTAATGTTGGCCAACTGAAAAGAATGAACATGAAAAGAATGTGCATGTATAGCACTCAATACTTAGTCGGGGCTCCTTTTGCCTCAATAACTGCAGTAATGCGGCGTGGCATGGACTCGATCAGTCTGTGGCACTGCTCAGGTGTTATGAGAGCCCAGGTTGCTCTGATAGTCGTCTTCAGCTCCTCTGCATTGTTGGGTCTAGCGTATTGCATCCTCCGCTTCACAATACCCCATAGATTTTCTATGGGGTTAAGGTCAGGCGAGTTTGCTGGCCAATCAAGGACAGGGATACCATGGTCCTTGAACCAGGTGCTGGTGGTTTTGGCACTGTGTGCAGGTGCCAAGTCCTGTTGAAAGGTGAAGTCTGCATCCCCATAAAGTTGGTCAGCAGCAGGAAGCATGAAGTGCTCTAAAACTTCCTGGTAGACGGCTGCATTGACCCTGGACCTCAGGAAACAGAGTGGGCCAACACCGGCAGATGACATGGCACCCCACACCATCACTGACGGTGGAAACTTTACACTGGACCTCATGCAACGTGGATTCTGTGCTTCTCCGCTCTTCCTCCAGACTCTGGGTCCTTGATTTCCAAAGGAAATGCAGAACTTGCTTTCATCAGAAAACATAACTTTGGACCACTCAGCATCAGTCCAGTCCTTTTTGTCCTTGGCCCAGGCGAGACGCTTCTTGCGCTGTTTCTTGTTCAAGAGTGGCTTGACACACGGAATGCGACACCTGAATCCCATGTCTTTCATGAGTCTCCTCGTGGTGGTTCTTGAAGCGCTGACTCCAGCTGCAGTCCACTCTTTGTGGATCTCCCCCACATTTTTGAATGGGTTTGTCGTCACAATTCTCTGCAG